CGACGAATCCCACGATCGTAACTCTCGCGTTCTACGAACTTTCTGCCCATTCTTGCGAAATACATGGCACAGCCTCGGTGGTGCGCTCCTCTCTCGAAACGCGTGCCACCATCGTCATCGGCAGGGGAACATCGCGAGATCGCGGTACCGCATTTTCTATGAGACACGGTAAAAGCAACTCTGAAAACGTCAGTTTTTCTGATTCGACGCGGCGGCGTTCCGTCGACCAGGTACGTCGGGAGTGTACTGCGTGCCACACGCTTAGAAAGTGTTTAACCTTCCGCGCGTAATGTATCTCCGCGCACGAGATACACGCTCCAGCGCCCACGTTTAACGCTGGATAAAAATGAAAGTCCACGAAGCGCGCCGATCGGAGGGCACGCTTTGAAACATTCGCGCCATCGAGCAACCTCGATCCCGCTCGGTCGAGCGATCACGATGCCAACGGAAAACCTTACAAAAGTTTCGACGCGCTTGCGCGAGTCGTACACCCAGATTTCGCGCGTTCCAACAAAGAAAAACACATGTGTGCTTCGATGTATGTTTCTTTACGAAAAATAAATGAAAAAAAAATTGTCGCGCCACATTTTTCTGAATTTTTCAATTACCGTGAATCGACCACAACCTTGAACTCGATCCGAGAAACTACGAATCACAGGAGGACATAAAGAACTCAGACCGACAGCCTTCGTTCCTCCCTTTACTCCTGAATTTTCCGTTTTCTTTTCCCGACCTCGAAACAAATGAAAGGTTCGTGCTAACCGTTTACACCGTTCTCGGTTCTTCGATGGATCGTGGTCAAACTGGATTATATTTTATCGAGACTTCGAGATCCGTTCGAGTGCGCACCATTCACAGACGTGAATTCTCGGCAGCTCTGCACCGACGAGTTCCTCGCTCCCGTTACGCTCAAATGAGTCCGAAGAAATAGTCGGAGAACTCCCGTGTTTGATGCTCTCGCCCCCTACTCGGAGAAACTGGTTAGCGTAACATAACAAATTCTTGACAAGAGCAATTCTTCGTGTTTCTGACCCGTTCGTTTCTACTGTATCGGCGTCGCAACAGTGAGTGATTTATCGGATTAGGCTGGAGGATATCTAGCCGCGGAGGAAAGTGACTTAACACCGAAGTAAGGCAGCTGCGTCAGGCTGTTCCGTTGCGGCGCGAAAATTTCGCGTTTGGAACAGGTGGGTGTTACGCGCGTACCCTCGTTTATGCTCGTCCCTTCCTTTCTCCTCACCTTGCGTTCTGTCGGACTGTTGCCGATTGCCGTGATTACCGAACGAAAAAAATTCGGTTTAGTTAAAGTTAAATCGGCACGTAGAAATGCGGAATAAAAGAAACGTATTCCGCGACGATGTTTTCGAAAGACAACGAAAAAACACTTCCTCGAAACGACGATGAAAACTACAGCTGTGCATCTGAACGTTTAACTTAGAATCACATGTCAAAATATTTGCATGTTCGCCGCGATGCACCTCCGTCATGGGTGCGTTCGAGCCGGCCACGAGTTACGCTCGTTTTGTTGTTTTTGCTTTCTCCCGTTCTCGATTCGTTCGCGAATCAGCACATTTTCCACGAAAAACCATTTCAACGCTTTCAGGGCAATTAGTCGGTGGTCGATTTTTCGTGCAATCGATCGGATCACTTTGACAATCCGTTTGAGAAATGATTTAAGAATTTTATACTGCGCGAAGATACAGGCCGCTGGTTTTTAATCTATTTCCGAGCCGGCTGATGGCTTAACCCTAGGACCCCGCTAAGTGGAGCGTACGGATTACCCGCGTTAAGAATAAATAAACCTTTAATCGCGAGACTTGTAATTCGATCGAGTAACGGTGTTTCTTATCGGGTGAAAATTCTCTTTTCTACCCGTCCGGACTCGCGAGTTCCTCGAACACTGCTCGACTCACCGGCTTATTTTGGGGGCCGCGTAACAATCACAAGTATCACTCGGTCTGTCGTGGTTTTTTCGTTTCGTAGGCGTTCGCCACGCGTATTCGTGTGTTCACAATTCTGGTTAAAGATCGACTTGTTCGAGTGTCCGAAAAAAGGGCTGTGGTTCGAGCTGATTTGTCCATAAATTCAAAGAAATCGGTTAGCGGCTGTTGCAGACCAAGGCGACACAGACGCCTTTCGGTGTAAATCATTGGCGCCTACGTGTTTGCCAAGCTCTTTACTCGCGTCGCGACGGTTGTCGCAAGACAGACTGCAAGATAGTAAACTGCACGGACTTCTTTTGGACACGGAGATCGAATAGTCGGTGATTTTTCGACACCGATGAAAAATGCTTCGGTGTTGGTGCAATTCAAAGACCTGTAACAACGAGCAAGCAACGAATCGGGGTAGCCGGCGTCGTTTGATGAAAACGGCCTTGACGAAACTCCTATCGAACGTTCGTACGAACGTTGCCTGCGAGTACGGGCGAACCCCTCCGATGCCTATCGCGGAAGTGAGTCGTTTAAACGTAGATTCGAGTGCCGCTGTCGACCAGTGTCGGCAAAGAATATTTCGCGTTATCGGAGCGACCAGTCGCGAAACAGACCGTTTTCGAAACACTGGACGCGTTCACGCGTCCAATGGTCGTGCGCATTGTCAGCGATCATTCGTAAAATTCGTATCGAATATTTGTTTTCGCTTCGGTCTCTCGATACGCGTACGTGGATTGTCTCTCGAATCTGTTGCCGCGCCGGCGCCGTGACAAACACTGTTTCATATTGCACGCATCAATATTTATAGACTCGCTCCGATTCGACGGTGATCGACTTTAAAACTGTACGCACTGCCTCTTGTTTTTCTCGCGTTTCGTCGACAAAAACACTTTGCCTCTACTCGGGGACAAAAAAAAAAAAAAACGAATGGGAGGAGGAGGTCCGTATTCAACGAATATCACGAAATATCGGACAGACAAAAACAACGTTTCGAAAGAAACGCATCGTTCTTTCGGTCTTTCTGCGGCGCGATAACGAGGACAGAAACGATCACGCAATCGAAACGCGTTTCAATAATTTTACGTCAGCCTGTTTACCGACGAAAGTCACGGTAAGGTCTGCCTATCTTCGATAAGTGTGGGCGTGGATTTCAGTAATCGTAGAAATAGTAATTATTGGTAGTCGTACAAAGATGTATCAAACGTTCTTTTCTCCGTTTGCTTTCGGTCGAAACAGTTCCCGGTAGAAATCATCACCTTGAGACAAATGTATCGCGTTGAATAGATTTTGCGTGGGTTGCCGGTTCGATCGGCTTGTTCGCGATCGTTGAGCAAGGTTGGATCGTAACGGATTGCATTGAGCGTCGAGAGGCGGACTTGCCAGTCCCGCCACCCGTCACCTGCTAACGCACAACGAGCGTGCCGCTGGTTGCGAAACGAACGAGTGCTCGTATTGGAGGGCAACGCTGATCATTGTAACTAACAAATAAATTTCTCTCGCTCCACTAAACCAATGACGCGATTAAATCGCGCTTCGAGTTCACGATCTATTAAGGTCGCGTGTTGTAACTTTTGCTATCTCGGTTTTAGCAATATCGTTTTTTACGGCTATCCCCGTGTCAGAGTTGAGTTTCTGTTCCAGACCAAACGGAACGAGAGAAAGAAGGCAGAGAAGAGCGGATCAAAAGGAAAATGTTTCGCGCGTACGATGCACCTGTTTGCACGAGGTTACATACCAATGAACTTTGACCGAGCCAGGCTTGTGAACGAATACGCTTGTCGCGCGATTGTCCGCGGTTCGAACAGTTCGAAGAACTCGCAATTCATCGGGAACGCGAAATACCGTAGCTCTGTGTAGGTGTAGAGAACCGGTGTGAACCGTGCCACGTCGCGTGCACGCGTTCCTGGACGGTGAAAGGAACTTTACGGCGTCGAGGAAAACTTTGATCGGCAATATGTACGATCGTATACGAGATAATCTTCCAACCATGCGCCGTACCTACTCTCGTTGGGTACAGCGACGGGATTCAATGCACCGTTAAACAGACGAATTGCCAGACGAAAAAAAACGCAACCGCCGACGATAGATTAGATAGCTGATCGTCTTTGTCGCCGTTACGGCGCGTGTATCTCCGTGAAATAATAAAAGAGCACGCGCAACAGCCGTGCGTCTATCTTGAAACGAATGAAATGGATTCCAGTCGTAAGGGCAGGTTCTCGACGGCGGTGGCGACGTCGGCTTTGCCAGAGAACAAATTGCCGCCTCGTCGAACAAAGGAACGTTTCGTCTCTAAACGGTCAGCGCGCGAGAAACCATTGTTTCGCCGCGAAACAAGCAATTATCGCGTTGAAGGCCGAAGTCGTACGACGGGGTACGATCCGCGCGAATAGAAAATTTTCAGATCTTATTGAGAATATCCGGTCGACCATCGTAATCGACACAAGACTCACCCACCTAGCCACCTACCCACCGCGAGTCAGGTACTCGTCGACGTTTCGCAACCGATGCGATCGAGCAACGTGCCTCGAATATTCGTGGAACGATCGAGGAGTTCGTGCGACAGGCGCATTTATGAGTTCAATTATATCATTAACTGGCGGCGATCGCTGGTCCCGCGGACCTCGAAACAGGATGGTTATCGCTGTCATACGTATGCGAGTCGAATCAAATCGAACTATGTACATACATACACACTTCACTCGCTCCCTTCCCAAAGCGACATCGGGCTCGCGAAGAGATCGGACCAACCGTTGCGTTTCCCCGCAAGATTGTTAATTCGTTGCGTAAACGTTCGCAGTGTTCTCGGAATTGTTCGAAAACATAGACAGTATATGTATAACTTATACCTACATATACCGTGCGGTTGTAGATTCTAGATTAGAGTTACGTAAACGCGAATCGACGAGCGCCTCGTACCCACGGGGGACTCGCGACGATGCAAATTTCAATATTGTTTCGATGCCGAGCGACGCGTATAGATATAGATACATAATAGATGCGTATGTGTATGTATGTATACCGAGGAAAGATACATTTGGCTTGGTGGCTCGAGCGACGTTGTTCTCTTACCTGCAGTCGAACTTGCGGCCTGGAGTGTCGTTTGGCGTAGCTGTTTCTGCTTGAATTCTGCGCGAAAGACGGCGGAAGGGGAGGTTGGGATCTTCTCGCGGTCGGTTCGTTCGCATTGTTCGGTGGCTTGTTCCTGAGCGTAGGGATCCTGTTCCCGTGATTTTGATTTCCATTCGGGATCTGCACGGGCACGGTGGCGGCGTTGTTCGACGAGGGCGCGTCCCGGTGGCTTTTGGTGCGACGAAGTAGACGCCGTACGGTGTTCTTGACGGTGGCGGCGAGATGCGTTCCACCGCCCCCACTGCCCACGCGTTCACCGCCGGTTTCGTTCATCGTTTTGTACTCGACCATCTTTGCTTTAACGACGGGCATAGGAGCCACTCTGTGGCCACCCGTCTCCATCACGTACATACCGGCTGCCACGTTGTCCCACGCGTGATGCGCCGCGACACCGAACCGTCCCGATCTTTACCTCGTCTCCTTTCACCTTTGCCTCGATCGGTTTCTCGTTTGCGCCGTGGACTAATTTTTCAGGCTGGAATAGACATCTCGCGGAATTTTTCCCTTCTCTATCCTTCTCCTGTCGTTTTTCGTTCTCCCTCGATGCCGTGTGTATCTCGAGCAAGCACCGACCACGGGGCTAGAATCCTTTCTGTCTTCGTGCACAGGCTTCGTAGAAACAGGCCCGATATTTGGTACGTGCGATCGAAAGCGTTGCTGCACAAGCAATCGCACAGTCTTACGCGACACTCACAGGTGCGCGTGCGTTAGAACGCGAACCGTAACGCGGTAGGTTGGTTTCTGTGAACGAAGGAAATATCGTAGTAGGTATCGACAACGGATCGGCGACGAATTCGGTAGTGGCAGCGCGACGACCGTTCGGAGATGATCGAAAATGAAACGCGATCTGTCGCTGCTCTCCCTTTTTATTTCAATTTTCTTTTGCGGTGCTTTTTGGTGCATCGATTGCCGAAACTTGCCGAACGGCTGTGCGCGTTTCAAGATTCGCTCGAGGAACCGGATAATACCGCCAGAGCGCAGGTGCTGCCGGATTGCCGTGGCAGGTGGAAGGCGAAGATTTTTTTTTTGTTCGTCGCGTGCGTTTCGAATTTCAGCGAACCGGTGTTAGCGATTCGCGGCAAAAAAGGAGCGTGTCGCACGTTAAATACATCGCTGTCGATTCTTTGTCAGAGGAAACTTCACTTTAGAACCGTACGATCGCTCCAGTTACGAACACGTTTGTATGCCGTTAGAACAACAGGTACGTATCCAGATCGAACCGGCCGTTCCGTCGACCGGCTAGAAACGATACCGACCGGTAATCCATGCAGATCGTCGACCCACACGTGTCACGGCGAACGCGTCACGCTCGAAGGAATACTGTTTTCGCTCGCGTTCGCCAGTCAGCCAGCGTGGTTACGTTGGCAAGGTAGCTGGGTGTTTCCTAAGAACGCGGTTAGCCGAAGGTTACGCGTTCGGCGTTATCGATCGTTAACGTCATCCAAACGAGCCGTCGAACGAATCGGCGAGCAAAATTATTAGTCGGCGACCGATCCTAACAAGACCCGCGAACACATGCGATGTACCGGCAATCGACCTTGTCGTTACCTTATTACTTAACCGTCATTCTATCAAAAGTTACGTAACTGATGCGATCGGAGTTAACCTACTCGGATAATAGGGGATTTAATATCGAGCAGGGAAGACGGATCGAATCCGTTTAAGCGAACCACCTGTCACCCACTGGAATCAAATGCAAACGGCGCTTGACGGTATTTTCGTTCGAACAATAATCTTATCTCGGCCTTAACGAGGACGAATGGAAGAAAGGACCGGATCGCGAATCATCGAACAAGGGACACCGTACAGCCGACCATCTATGCTACGCGTTTTCCCAAGCATCTCGATTGCGATGGCGAGACGAGTAAGGCTCTCGTATACTACTGAGAATGAGATGTCGGTGGGTCGCGTCGATGAGTGGAATCATTGATTGTTTCTCGACTCGTTTGCATCCGCGTAGGTATATCGTTTAATTTGAAAGTGAACAGGTATACCTTCCGGTAGTTCGTCAACAGACGTACAATTCCACCGAGTTTATCCTGTCGAAGCTCTATCGTAGAACGAGCATCGTTTCAACGATCACAGCGGGACATCGTCTCGCAACCATCGATTTGATTATTAATTTCTCTAGCATCTCACCCTTCGAATTCCCTAACCGCGTAGGTATCATCACCAGCCGAAAACTTCGAAACCATAGAGTTTTTTGGTACTCGAACGCGAACTCGATCAACTGCTCTCGCGAAATCCGTTCACTCGCATTCTCGACAAGGTCCGCGAACGCCACGAAAATATCGGATCGGGAGTACGGGTTCTCCAGGAGGGGTTTCTCGGTTCGTTACGAACGATGCCGCGCCTGGCGTGGCGCGCTCGACTGCCGCTGACGGAGCGGAGCGGGAATGAACGCGAGCGAGAGCGCGCGAACGACTTCCTAATGTCGTTAAGTTAAACGAATTAGGCCAGTTCTCCGATACGCGGACAAGCACGTAACCTTATACTGTATAGTCGAGTAAACGGGGATTGCGTTCCAACTATGACGCACGCTCGAGCCACGAGACCGACTATGCTCGGCAGTTTGCGGCGTACCGACTACATAGTTAACGACTTTCGTATCGTATCGTATCGTATCGTACGTGTAGCGTTGTCGTCCGTCCGATACTTTCCACGATGTCCCCCAGCACATTCCTACAATTACCACGTCACCGTTACCACGGTCTGTTATCGCAACACTGTCTCGACATAGTGGCCAAACGACGATTCACGAATCAGCCGTGTGTTCCTCGACTCTAGACTTTTCGATCGACCTTTGTCGCAACCTTCACGACGAGGCGAACTCGTCGAAATTAACGATTCCGAGGACCGGTTTCGCTAGATTCCATCTCGTAGGATTAAGTTAATCTTTCCGCCGACGCGGCCGTGAAAAAGCAAAACGAAAGCAAACAGGGCTCCGGCCGTTGTTTACCTTTCCCGAGGAATCGATAAAACGAAAAGGTGTGTACCTACACCATCGATACCACCGGTATGACCGTCGACGGACCTGTTGCGTCGATGGACAGCGAATTTGAAAGCGACCCCAGCATGCGTCTATACCGGCCGGCCATGCAATGTCACCTATCGTTACCCTTTTCGCGCGTCCTATCGTCGCTCGCGGTACTATGAGTTCAATTCATAAAGCTGCGCATGTGTCGGTATGTGTCAGCCGTAGACGGATGACGTGTGAATCGTAACTAATGTAAGCCCAAGTTCAAGAAATTGATCCGATCGATGCGCTATTACGTGATATCCGTGTATACACCCGGTTAGAGCGCGAAGAATTCGACTTGTTTTCAAAGACAGAACCGATGCGTGAGTCGATGCTTTTCATTCCAAGATCGTCCGTAGCGCGAGCGATACCTGAAGAGCTCGACGAAGGAAAAAATTCGGTGCTGGCAGAGTTTCACTGGCTGTTCGGTTCCGAGTCAGACGGTTCGTCGTATAATCTCTCAGGGTCTGTATCCAACGCGATCCAAATCGATATCTGCGAGATCGGTGCGTTCGCGGTATACCTTGAACGGATCCGTTCACCTTCTCCCGAAACACGCGACATCTCCGATGATATGCGACAACAGACAAAAATACTTTTCACGGATTGGATGCTTCCGACACACTATCGACACTCGCGACCACACGTTTCTAGCAAAGCACCGACAAATCGAATAAGCAATACACCGAACCTCGACAAATTTCTTCACTCTACCGAGTCGAGTCGACTCGATAGTAAATCGTCGCACTGCCACGTGCTTTTCCGTTTCGTTTACCGTATCGGCCGATCGAATTCGAGGGAAAGCGTAAACGGGGCGACTCGGAAGCACCGGACCGCGATCGATGCTGAGTCTCGCAGAGATTCGCGAACGGGTCGAACAGACGTGCTGTTCGATCGCGAGTCTCGTGTTAACTGAGCGCGAACGACGAGGACGCGCGAGCTCCGCTCGGCTCGGACTCTTTCATACTGGATCTCACCGCGACCGATACGCACGGCCCTCCTCCTCCTCTCTAGATCTCGCGCGCACTCCTTCTTTCGCTCGCGCTCGCCGTTCTCTCGCACTCTTTCTCCCGTTGCGCGCGTAGTCTCGCGTCTCTGAGGACGCGTGCACGCATACTTACTTCGCCGCCATCGGGAGGCACAGAAACGCATCGGAACGCGCACGTAAGTACTCGCTGTTGCTTCGATTTCCCAGAGTCGAATAGGGGGATGGTAGTAACGTGTGCATGTAAGTATGTAATATGTCTAGAAATTTGGCAATAGGCAAACAGAACGCATGCGATGTTTTATGAATTTCGATGTTCCAGCTGGTAAACGGAATACCACGGGATGGAATTGTCGCCACGTTTCGATCGTTTCAATGAACGTTGATCGTGATATCGCGCAAATGTTACCCGCGGTTTTCATCGAATAATCGACGAGGTCACTAGGCGCGTTTACCAGCACGAGTACGACTACGGACCTCCTTTGTCTGGGGACTACGCTCACTCTAGTCACGTACAACACCGTTGAACGTGCATGCATTTGTGCGTGCATCGGACGCCACCGCTCGAATAGAAATTAAACGTGACCGAACCGCGCCTAGATAAACTCGTTGTGTAACGAATACATTCGTAGCAAAACAGAGAATAGAGATCGAGAGAGAGAGAGAGAGAGAGAGAGAGAGAGAGAGAGAGAAACGGAGATCAGACGCGACGGGTAAGCTTTAAACGCGAAAGGCGGAGGGAAGGTAAACACTTGCCGTAGTGGCGAACGGATGGATTCATTAGATTAATGGACTTCGAGGCTCGATGCATTCTACGAGGTGCACGGAATAAACCTTTCGACATCGGTACTCCATTGAAACGTTTAACGTCGAGGTATATTCGTTCGGCTTTTAGTATATGTATATAGGTACCTACTTTCCTGGACTCGGTACCGTGGAAAGTTTGTTTTTCTCGTTGGTTTCTAATGCGATTTGGAACAACGAGGTAGAACAATTTCACGAGTGGAAGGGACGGCAAAACACGTATCTTATATCAAATACACCGATGCGAAATAGGTCCGTGTTTGGTCATCGGTCGTGAACGGTCGATTAACTTCGTTTATTCGAACCGTATAATAAAGAAAGTATCGCACGGAAGTGCAATTACCCGATCGCTGAAATCGAGCGTAACAGAGAATCGAATTATCGATCATCGTGTCAGCTTTGCGCATACACACATCCTTGACATATTCCGTTTGCGCGCAACAAGATCAACCCAGTTAATGCTCGGGTTACGGTATTCTCGTGGCGAGATGATCGGGCAGGTCAGCCCTTTCCTTTGGGCGAAGAATACACCTCGATCGATCGGAACAAGAAATTCTGTGTCACGGATATTTTTCTGCTCCAGTTCGAAGTTTCATCGTTTGAAAAATAGTTATCGATGCGTCGGGGAAACGAGGAACAGACTCGAGGAGGCCTACCGAACGGGAAACGTGACTCGTATCGATGACCTTACGCTAAACTTTTGTCCAGCGCGATCACTCCCGACCCGACTTACTTCGAACGTTACTTTTCCGCGAACTTCGTGAGCCGTAGTCATTCTAACAAGGGTGACGCGTTCACCGCGACTGGATCACGTCATCGCTACCTTTTCATGTCATTTCGATAAAAGGTAATGTTGTTCGTTCGAAGGAAATCCTCGCTAATGTTTTATCCCTGAATTCCTGCTCACCGATCGATGTCCATCGTAACAATCGTTGGAAAAATTTCCGTTCGGACGCTCGCTGGTTGTTAGATCGATCATCTCGATCGTTTGTAATCGTGGACGTGTTCG